TCTAACCGATCCCTGTCCCCATCGGCATGACCTGGGCCCAACTGGCCGATGTAACCCCCGAGATGGGGATGTAGGCGGTGTCCTTCGGGCCTCGTGGGGCATATACGCTAATTGTGGTGGTGAGATGGTGGGTCTCGGGATGGGGATGGGGGCGCAGGGATCGGTGGAAGGATGCTGACTTTCCATCGGGACCCCGTCCCTCCTAGGCGGCACGGGCGGACCACCCCGGCTCATAAGCACAGCTCCCGTCCGCCCGACAGGCCCCAGCGGCCCTCTGCCCCCCCTCTTCCCCACACCCCGGTCGCAGCGAGCGCGGGGGATACCAACTCTTGTAATTACATAGATCGTGAGATTGCTGACCCCCCTCGTGTTGTTTCGACTCGTCTCGTTGCTCCTCTTTCTCCCTTGAAGCATCCACGCTCGTTGTTCGGCATTTGAAACGGGAATAGGGGGGCCCGGGACACATTTGCGAGGCGGGAATGTATTCATATCCACCGCATGTGGAGCCGAAGCCCCGAGGACATGGATTTGTGTCAGCCCGCAGGGGGCCAGATATCCATGCCCACCGCCTGTCCCCGAAGATCGCTCGCCCGAGCTGCGGTTCTGTAAGACTCCCCCCCTCGGAACAGCACCCGAGCGAAACTTCGGCGCCGCTTTTGCTGCGCCTCCTCGCGGCTGCGCACAAGAGTGGCCCGGAGGCACGGCGACCCCTGGCGCGCGGAGCTCCGACTGTTTCCGTGCGGCGCGTGTCAGCAGCAGCCCGCGTGGCTTGGGCTTCGACCCCGCGCGCCCCCCGGCAGCCTCGCCTTCGAGGCCGCTCCAGCGACGGGTCCCTCTTCACGTGCAGCCTCCTCCTCCTCCTCCTCCTCCTCCTCCTCCTCCTCCTCCTCTGGGCCACCCCGCCCGGTATTCGGGGGAGCGCGCTCGCGCGCGGGGTGCTGGCGCGGGCGTTCCGCTCGGGGCCGCACCTACCCGCGACTCCTGTTCCGAGGTCGGGCGCTGCTGGGGGAGCGTGCAACGCCCCCCGAGATCATGGCCACTCCTCCTCTTCCCCCTACAACGACAACGCCGGCTATCATGTCTCATCCTACTCCTCCTCCCCCCCGTCCATCCTCCCCATCCATCCATCCATCGTCTTCCCATCCGACGTCCTGATGACAAAACAAATGCTGCGATGCCGGCGAAACAACGAAAACGGACACCACCAGACCCATATGTCCCAGATCCAAGATATGATCATCATGGATTCGTGCCACGCGCCCGTCTCCTTCCTCGCACTTCCGTATCCTTCACACGCGGCTTCACTCTGTAGAATCACCTTCGCTCAAACTTACCCACATTCAAACTCAATGAGGGAAGACGGAAGACGGGGGGTGATGAGAAGGGAGTAGGGAGGGAAGTTAGAAGCAGCAGCAGGAATAATGAGGAAGCAAGCGAGGAGAGGGAGAGGAGCAGCGGAGGAGAACGACGAGGAGAAGGAGGAGGACGAGGAGGGTGGAGGGGGGGAAGGAGGGAAGAAGGTGGAGGGGGCTCAGGATTCAGGATTCAACAACGATGTATAAACATCGACTACTGCTGAAAACTGAATCGGTGGAACAAAGCGCACGCCCCACTCGAAGATTCCGAAGAGAGCATGGTCAGAAAGACGAGGCCCCCACCACGGAGGACGTCTGCACGCGAGCAGTAATCACCGACCGAGTCTGCAGATCGAAAGCCTCCCAGCAGACCAGGCGGGGGGCGGCCCACGCAGGAAACAGTGCCAAGGGAGCCTCCTCACTGGATGTGCACGCTTGGGTACTGGTCGCAAGTGCCATTGACAGTGCCAACAAAAGCGGTCAAATCTGCAGTTGAGACAAGAGTGCGTCGGACGGGGGAGGCTCACAGAGCAGAACAGAGGGTGAAGCCCCTGGCCAAACTGGACATTACAGGTTGGAGCACGGCTCCTGATGACACCTGAGGGGGTGGCGTCGAAGAGCGCTCGACAAGAGAACAGCAGCCAGCTAGAAGTCGTCGGGCTGCGGCGAGCCAACCATGTGCCGCATCGCGGCCGGTGTCCTCTGCATCGCTGCAGGTGGGGATGACCCTGGGGGGGAGGCCCCTGTGAGGGGGGAGGCTGCGCCCACCAACCCACGCGCAGAAGAAACCGCCGTTCGCTCACTTCGCTGTGTATCTGCTCACGGCTGGAGGTCGGCAGAGCTGCCAGAACGCGACGCACGCGCCCCCACTTCCACTACAGGGCGCTCCTGAGAAATGGCGGCCAACTCGCGGGCTGCACAACCACACATTCACGGCATCACGAGGCTCACGAACATGAGACACACGGTCAGCAACGTCTGCACAAAATACACTGTGATGCTCTCAGCGACCGGAGAGCCAAGAGCAGGTGGCACTGCACGAGGCTGGCCATGAAGTGCGGCTCCAGCACCAGCGCCGCGAAGGATACGAGCACCAAGAGCAGGGCCAGCACCGGCCTCCAAGAGGGTCGGCGGCGCCGACATCCCCAAGGGCGTGCGTGGCGGTGCTGGCTGGCTCCGCTGGCGGAGGGACCTCCCGCGTACGCCTGGCGGGCAGACCTGCGCTCGCTGGCGGCTGGCGGCCAGCAGTGGCCTCCATGACGGTGCCACCGCCTGCGTTTGGCTCGGCGGTCGGGCTGGGCTGTTCCATGCCGGTATGCCCATCGGCTCCGTCATCGCCCTCGGTGTGCTCAGGCACGCCTCGAGCAGGCACACCTCCAGCACATGGAGCAGGAGGCGCGCCCAGGAAAGCATCGCCAGTCCCGAGTGGCAGCAGGAGGGGGCTTCACGGACAAGCGCCGGAGAGCGCTCGGAGATCTCGAAGCTGCCGATGGACTCAATGATCAGGCCGGCAAACCTGTCGCCTGCCACCGCCAGCAGGTGGGTCTCCACATGCTCCAGCAAGGGGACGAACAAGTGAAACCCCTTCGTTGTCGACCCCGTGTTCGCCCCCCCTTCCCCCGGGACTCAAAGTTGGCGTCTGGCCTGCTGGAGGCCGTGGGGGGTACACTTTTTATGTCCTTTCGAGCCTGTGCTCCCGAACGACCAGGGTCAACTCTGAATAGAGGGGGGGGAAGGAGGGAGCGGAGCCCAGGGTTCCACATCTTTGTCTATCTGCGGTCCGGCGGGAGACGAGCCACCTCCGCGGGCAGGCGGGCCACCTGCGCCAGAGTGGCCTCGGGGGGTGGCCGCGGCAGGTCGGGCGGCCCTCAGGCCGCGGCCCAAGCGTGCCTCACGGCGGCGGCATGCCGGGGTCCCGCCAGCAGGGCGACCCAGCGACACAGCAGAAGAGAGAACACCGTCGCCCAAGCTGGGCTGAGGGCTGGGGGGTGGAGAGGAGTGGGTGCCTGCCAAAGTGAAGCGGCCACACCTCAGAGCCACCTGGGAGGAGGGGGAGAGAGAGGGAGGGGGAGAAGGGAGGAGGAGAGAGAGAAGGAGGAGGAAGAGGAGGAGGAAGAGGAGGAGGAGGAGGAGGAGGAGGGATGGAGGAGGGGGTGGAGAAGGACGAGGAGGAGGAGGACGGATGAAGGATGAAGAGAAGGAGAAAGATGGGGATGGCGAGGAAGATATCAACTTGGAAGAGAAGGCTCGCAGCCCCGTCGATGGGGGCTGCGCGTGGGCGGCCTGAGGCGCCCCCCTTGGAGCCTGCTGGCACGGCCTGGCCGAGCAGCTGCCTCAGACGAGATCCCACGAGGCCTGGCCAGCCATGAGAGTTATCCTCCGCCGCGCCGTGCCGCGACTGACGTGCTAATGACGCGCCCGACCATGTAAGACGAAGCCAGGACGAGGAGAACTTCGGGTGGGATAAATCGAGAATCTCCGAGATCTGGTGGCTCTGGAGGATGTCTCGGGCGCCGCGGCCTTCTCAGAGCGTTCCGGAACGCTCTGCGAGCGTTCTGGAACGCTCTGGGACGGATTTATCCTCGTCCCATCCCCGTATGACCATGGGCCCCGCGTCGACCATGGATCGAGGACCCAGGAATCGCACCAGCAGGTGGGAGGGGGAGGAGCAGGGGGGCGCGTGGCGCAGCCGCCCGCCTCCCGCCCAGTGGCGCTGCACGGCTCAAACCTGCGATGGCCCTAGGCCGGTCTGCGTCGCACCGGCCAGGGGCTGGGCGCTGGCTAGCCAACGCGCGCGCTCGGGGCGGTGCCAGGGAGCGAGATGCGAAGTGCGAAAGCGTGCGCTTCTGGACGCTCGGGGCCCTCTCGCGGCCTCCCGAGAACTCCAGGGGCCTCCGCGTTCGACCACGGGCCTCCGGTTCCCCTTTGGTCTTCTTCGTCGCTCATCGGCGGTCTCCAGCGGTCTTCGGCGGTCTCGGGCGGCCTCCTGAAGAAAGCCAGAGGTCCATGATGTCACACCTAACTCGTGCGTGTGTGTGCGTGTCGGGCCCGAGCCTTGCCGTCTTTACAAGAAGGAGGGGATGCAGAGATCTGCAGCGCAGGCCACTTGCACAAGACGCCACGGAGAACACACCGAGTCACACCCGCACGCTGGGTGCAAGTCGCAAACACAGGGGGAAGCACCTTACGAAGCCTGAGCCCCTTGCAAAGCAGTAGTGATTATTCTCGGGTACTCTTGCGATGTCTGTTCTTGGGTTTCTTAATATTGCACCTGTCAGACCAGACGTCAGTAGTCAGGGCCCCGAGGCGCATCGAGGCCGGCGTGCGTCCAGATGTTATCCCATGCCTCTGCGCTTCCTCGCGCTCCACCCGAAGAAAAGGTCTGCGGTGGGGCCGTCCTTGCACAACCCCCCACCAGTCCCTTCCCCCCCTCGGCCCCCCCTCGCCTTCTCTTCCGCATCACCTGTCCAGCACCGCCCTCCCTCCCGCCTCCGAGCGCAGTGGCGGATATGCGCGGCAGCGCAGCTGGATAATTCGAACAGGATTTGCAGTCCTGCTGTTGGGAAGCGCAGCCCTCCAGGTGCGTCCCGATTGCGCCGCCGCTGGCAGTCATTCCTCCACCGCAGGCGCAGTCCTCACGCACCCTCAGTGGCACGGGTACCTTTTTCCCCTGCTGCCATCTGCGTGGCCTGCAGAATGATGCCTGCCCGGATTCTCCCGACGGAAGAATAAGAAGAAGGGCAAAAAGCACACGAATATCCATGTCATGCCGAGGGAATCGTCAAAGGCTGAAGAGCAGATGCGACATGGCTATCAATATGGTACAAGCGGGGTGCAAGGTGGGCGCAAGCATGCCAGAATAAGGTGCGGTGCGTATACGTACCTTCTGCGCGTTCACGTCCTGCACAACATCGCGAGAAACAAATCTCGGCGCGTGGGTTTGGGCGCCCCAGTGGGAGCCGTGGTTTTCCCCCTCATCCCCCGTTGTTCTAGGACGTCGACGTGACATCGTGGGAGAAGAACATATCGGGCCACAGCACAAAAAAAACCAAAGAGCACAATGAGTACTCCCTCCCACAGATCCTACCAGAGTCTGGGCGGAGCGGGCGCGAGGTGTTCCATGATCCACCTCTTCATCAACCCCCGTGGACTCGCACATTCACTTAATATCTAGTTTATGCTTGTGCCTGATGTTGGTAGCTTCGTCTGGGTCCCATGGTCCCAGTGCGGCGAAGAGCTAGCCTCATACCAACTTACATGAAACACAACAAATCAGTTATGACCCCCAAGCCTGGTCCACCAGTTGGCAACTTGGAACGAACACATCCAAGAACACTAATCCATCGCCGATAACTGAAATTGGGCCGAGGGAAGTGAGGGAGGAAGGGAGGGAGGGAGGGAGGAGGGAGGGAGGGAGGAGGAGGGAGGAAGGAGGAAGGAGGAAGGAGGGAGGAGGGAGGCAGGGGCAAGACAACAGCGCACAATAAAGGGCAAAGGGAAGGAGAGCCCGCCTGAACACCCGAAGCGAGAAGCGCAGCACCGCTCGGCCCAGGCGACCAGATGTCAGCGCCCAACCGACGCCGCCCTAGAGCAGCAGGACTTGGAAGTCGCTGCGCCACCTACGGTCGGGAACTCTTGCTCAGCGTGTCGCAAGCAGTGGCCCCGGCGACACGCTATGCTCTGCGAGCGGATAGCGCGTCGATCCGCTCCGCGGGGCGAGAGGCTCGGGAAGAAGCTCGGCCCGCATCGGGCGACCACGGGTCAGCGCCCCACCGACGGCGCCCAAGAGCAGCAGGACTTGGCAGTCGCTGCGCCACCTCGGCCCACGGATTCCGTGAAAGAAACCACGGCGGGGAGCCCTCAACCCCAGCCTCACGCCGGACCGCGGGGCCTGAGGCTGGAGCAGAGGTGCGCGCCAGCATGTCTGCCACAGCAACCAGAGGGCCTGGGGTCAAGGAGGGCGGAGGAACCCAAATCCCCTCGAATCAAGAAAAAAGCACAACGGATGTTCGGTCCGCTAATTTCAGCCTTTGGGGGCCCTCACCGGCCCTCGGGACCGTCAACAAAACTACTCAGGATGAAAAACCAGCACCTGGGAATGGGTCGAGACCTTTGGGGATCGATGTTTGGGAAAAACATGAGGCGCGCGTCCGACCCGAACATGTCGTATACACATTTTGTAGTGGATATCATCGTTTCTCGAGCGGTGTGGCCAGAAAGCGCCCGCCACCACGCATATATCAAGATTTCTCGGTGCGCGCGTCGCCCCTTGGGGGGAGGGGGCCACGCACACATAGAAGTAGTATGTTGGGGTGACGCCGATCGGGGTCTGCTCAGAGACTGACCCCCAGACCCCTCCTCCTGGGCACCGCCCTGGCCCGCCCACTGAGCTGCGCCCGAGGCCCGTGGCGGCGAGAGGAGGCCCCCAAGGCCCGGAAGAGGCGGCAGCAGCAGCGCGGCGGCAGCGGCGGCGGCAGCGGCGGCAGCAGCGGCAGCGGGGTCGGCGCGGCAGGCAGCGCACCGGCAGCAGCGACAGCGTCAGCGGCAGCGCATGAGCAGCGGCAGCGGCGGCAGCGGCGGCAGCGGCGGCAGCGGCGGCAGCGGCGGCGAGGCAGCGGCGGCGCAGCGGCGGCAACAGCAGCAGCACCGGCGGCGGCGGCGGCGAAGGCGGCGGGCGGCGGTAGCAGCGGGGGTGGGCTGGACGAGCAGGTGGACCAACTGCGGGCCGAGAGGCTGGCGCAATGCGCGGGCGGGCCGGTCGCCTGTGTACATCTGGAACTCCTGCCGGGAGGGGGCCAGCCCCATTTCCAGGGCTGCGAGTGGGAGGGAGGACAGAGGAGGTAGAAGGGAGGAGAGAGGATGGAGGGGTGGGGGAGGAAGGAGGGGGGGTGGATGGAGGAAGGGGGGGAGGGAAGGAGGAAGGGAGGGAGGAGGAAGGGGGGAGGAGGACGGGGGCAAGGGGGAGGAGGGAGGAGGGGCGGGGAGGGAGGAGGGAGGGATGATAGAGAGCGGATAATGGCAAGCTTGGCACGCTCACTCCGCATCTGACGCCATACCCCTGCCTCCAGTCCCCTCTACTCCACTCGCAGGGTCGAGTGTCGAAGAGGACGTTGCTTCCGAGGGTGACATTTTGTCCTGATACGTGGCATCCAGTAAAGCGAGAACACCATGCTTGCTGATGCAATAATACGGCCAGCGCGTTGGCCAGAGCGTCGTGCCCTGGGACGGAAGCCCTCTGGTAGATCTTGAAATGCGGTAAGCACTGCTACTGGATCTGCAGACGGCCAGCGTTGCGGCGAGAGCGTCGTCCCCATGGACAGGAACTCCATGGAAATTCTGAAACGCGGTAAACGCTGCAGCGGGAGCACCACGTGTGCAGATGCAGGAATACGGTCAGCGATGCGGCGAGAGCGACGCTCCGTTGGAGAGAGGCTTCATGGAAATCCAGAAATGTGCCAGCGCTTCAGTCAGAGCACAACTTTGAGGGGCCAATATCGCTGCGACTTTAAACAAAGCATCAGAAATCACATGTAGGCAACCCTGTGGTTGCTTTACCCGTGGGTGGGATAGGCGGGGAACATTCAAAACAGGATCTGGGGAAAGATGGGAGACGTACTCAGACTGAGCAGTTGTGAAGGAGGAGGAGGAAAGGCAGAGAACAAGGAGGAGGAGCAGCAGTGGCACAGAAGAGGGGGAGGAAGAAGAAAACGAGGAGGAGGAGGAAGAAGAAGAAGACGCGGAAGGCTCGACTTGATGCCTGCCCGAAGCAAACAAAAAGCGCGTGAGGAGGAGGATGAAGAGAACTTCCGCCACCCTCTCGCCCTGCCCCATCCCGCCTCAACTCTCTGTCTCTGTCCCTCCCCCCGCCCCCGCAACCGAATCCTCCTCTCCCCCCTGCACTTCCAAGACCTCCTCAGCCTCCTCCTCCTCCTCCTCCTTCTCCTCCTCCTCCTCCTCCTGCTCCTCCTCTTCCTCCTCCTCCTCCTCCTCCCTCCTCCTCCCCTCCTCCTCCCCCTCCTCCTCCTCCCCATCATCATCATCATCATCATCAGCAGCAGCAGCATCACCATCATCATCATCAGCAGCATCATCAGCATCAGCATCAGCATCAGCATCATCAGCATCATCATCAGCATCATCATCATCATCATCATCCTCATCAACATCATCATCATAATCATCCACTTCCCCCTCATCATCACCACCACCACCATCATCACCGTCATCACCACCACCACCATCATCACCACTACCATCACCACCTGCATTAGCATCATAATCAGCAGCATCATCATCACCAGCAGCAGCATCAGAAGCAGCAGCAGCAGCACAATATATCTTCATCGCCATCATCATCATCCCCAGCATCAGCATCATCATCGCCATCATCAGATTCCTCATCATCGTCATCATCATCATCAGCAGTATCAGCATCAGCATCAGCATCACCACCACATTGACCATCATCACCAACAACCTCAACATCAATCTGAACATCAGAGCATCATCACCAACATCCTCGTCATGACCATCATCATCGCCACCATCAGCAACAGCAGCACCACCGCAATCCTCAGCAGCATTACCATCGTCAAGCCACCCTCATCATCATCCTGGTGTTCCTCCTCCTCCTCCTCTTCCTCCTCTTCCTTCCCATGACTGGTTGGGGGAACTGGTACGCGTCGTCAAACGTTCCCGTGCGGAATCCCAGAACCGGTTAATGTCTCGATCATCGCCACCATCAGCAACAGCAGCACCACCGCAATCCTCAGCAGCATTACCATCGTCAAGCCACCCTCATCATCATCCTGGTGTTCCTCCTCCTCCTCCTCTTCCTCCTCTTCCTTCCCATGACTGGTTGGGGGAACTGGTACGCGTCGTCAAACGTTCCCGTGCGGAATCCCAGAACCGGTTAATGTCTCGATAAGACAATCCTCGTCGCCGTCAACGCTATCATCCTCCCAATTTCCTCCTCATGTTCCTGGTCCTCCTCAACCTCCCCCTCCTCATCCCCATCCTCCTCCTTCTCCTCCTCGTCCTCCTCGTCCTCCTCGGTTTCCGCCTCCTCCTCCTCCTCCTCCTCCTCCGCCTCCTCCTCCTCCAACTCCTCCTCCTCCTCCCCCCTCCGTTTCCCTTCCCCGTCCTCCTCCGGTGCTCGCCTCGTCCTCGTCATCCCCCTCCTTCCCCCCTCCTCCACCTCCTTCTCATCATCCTCCGTTTCGGTGTTCTTCCCCTTCTCCCTCCTCCTCCTCCTTCTCCTCCTCCTCCAACTCCTCCTCCTCCTGCCCTCCCCCTCCGCCCCCTACTCCTCATCCATCACCAACATAGGCACCATCACCACCACCATCATCATCATCAATCATCACAACATCAATCATCATCACCATCGTCATCATCAACATCATTAACCACATTATTTCATCACCATCGTCTACAGCATAAGTATCTTCAAAAAAAAAAAAAAAAAAAAAACAGCACCACATCCCCATCGGCATCTGAATTGTCGCCGTGATGCGCTTTTCACCACGAGCGGTCGTGCCTGCTGTGTGCAAGTCAAAGAGGCTAAGCCCTCCCTCCGTCCTAATAGCGCTCGGGAAAAAAAGGCTTGTAGCAGAAAACGGCGTCGGGAAGGGAATAGGTGGACGTGGCAGCAGTGAATCTTCAACACTGCTACCCTTCTGATTTCCCCTCATCATCATTCCTGTACTTCGCAC